GCTCCATCAACAGTCAATTACCCTAGGCAAATGTTGAGTGGCACAACAGGCAAAGTCCGCGCCATCGGCGTCTCCAACTTCTCCATAAAGAACCTGGAGATCCTGCTCAAAGACGCCAAAGTCGTGCCGGCGAACAACCAGGTCGAGATCCACCCCTACCTCCCGCAGCACGCGCTACAACAGTACTGCAACGAGAAAGGCATCCTCCTCTCCGCGTACTCCCCGCTCGGTGCGTCTCTCCGCCAGTACCCTCAGCAGGACCGCTAAAGGCACAGAGCCACAGGCCAGGGCAACCCGATGTTCTTCAGCGACCCCGACTTTGCCAGGATCGCCGAGAGCCACGACGCCACGCCGGCTCAGATCTCGATCAGCTGGCTTGTCCAGCGGGGCACGCCGCCAATCGTGAAAAGCGCCAATGTCGAGCGCATGAAGAAGAACATCACCGTGAGTCCCCGTCCAGTCGTCGTAAACTATTTGTATCCAGCGACTTGACCTGCCGCGGTTTGGACAGCTCGTGAAGCTCTCCCATGGGGAGATGGAGATCATCGACAACATCCACAAGAAGCCCGGCGCGCACAGGTCGCTGCTGCCGTACCACGAGCCCGACGGCACGGTGCTCATGTGGACGTACGAGCAGCTCGGGTGGCCGATGACCGTGGGCGGACTCGTCGAGGCGTAGAGCAATGCGACGATGGTGCGTCGTCCGCCGAGACCGTCTTCCACGGGACTGTCTGTAACAGAAATTTCCTCGTCCATGTGTTCGTGTGCTGATCTCGAGGAGGGCTTTGCCGGGGCAGCTGAAATCACGGGGTATTGATCGATACTACATAGGCTATGCTGCTATAAAGATACACCCACGTGCTGTACTCACACGGTGGCACATTAATATTGTACTGTACAATACATGCGGTAACTTCTCATCTCAAACGGGCGCCATGTCTTGTACACGCCGCCGACGCAGCGGCCTCGCCTGTGTGTGTTCGGCCACTGTATCGAGGTCACGGTCGCAGAATGGCACTGAACTGACCAGGTTTCAAGTGTCACGGGTCACAGGGAGTGGCACGCCCTTCTGTCTTTGCGGCACTGCATCAGCTGATGCCATGCCGTTCGAGGGCACCTTCTTGTTCCGAAGCAAGTCAAGTTCTCATAGATAGGCTTGGACTGCGTGCTCGGATCCCGCCGCCGTGATTGTGTCGTTGCGTGCCAACGGCGCTGCATGTCCCGGGAACCCCTGCTCTTGTGTCGAAGCATATTTTGAACGCAAAATTTTCTAGCCCAAACGGCCGCTTGCTCCCCTCGAAGATCGCGACCGAGTCTCAAGATCCCAAGGCCTATTATTGCAAGCAATTTTCTCTGCGACCAGCTCCCGTCCGGTGTGAGCACCACTAGCGCATGATTTGTTTGATTTTCACCATGCTTCTCAGTGCTCTATTCCGGAGCGATTATTGAGATGAAGGGCTGTTCAGTCTCAGTTTGCAGTTTTGTTTTCGTTTCTGCTCTGAAACAGGCTGCAGGCGGGTGAGCATCATCTAGCTCCTCAGGGCGGTGGTATGTAGCGGAAGTCTAAGACTCTGAGACGACGCGGCCCCCTCTCTGCCTTATCAAGTCGTTCATCACTCGATGCATCACGGCTAGTGGTAGAAAGCGAAGAGGAACCGAGACACAGGTCGAAACAAGAAACGATCAAGACATGGAAGAGTCAAGACATCGCCGCTCGGCGTTGGCTTCGAATGACACTTGAGAGGGGAGTCAAGCCAGAGACAGCTGGCCTCGGATGCTCCTTCTGGCGCATCAGCACGACGCCCCCGTACACCTCGTTCTCTACAGGCTCTGGCTTTACTATGGCCGTTATTCCCTCTCGCGCAGTTCAAAACCTTTCGGAGGTCTCAGCTTTGCAGCGCCTTGACTGCGAGTAGTGCCGCCACTGCCACAGGCTAGACTTCGCAGGCACGCACTCTCGAAAGACCACCTGCAGCAGATCAAAATGTTCGGAGCACGTTCCAAACGCTCGATTGCTCCCGCTCTGGGGTCGCGCATCGCATCAAAGGAGGCAACCTCTGTCACTCGCTGCAGGCGCCTGCAATGATCGAGCATATAAGGACGGAAGGATCGCAACGAAACTTTAAAGCCCACCGTTCGCTCAGCTCCCTCGCCCCACACGATCTCCGTGCTCCACATATCTTGAAATCCCCCGTGCACCATGTTCATTCTGAAGACCCTCGCTGTCCTCGGTGCCGCCGTCACCGTGGTGTACGCCCAGACGGCTTCTCCTACTCCCACATTCGACGCCTGCACCACCTCCTGCCTCACCAACAGCGCGTCCTCGAACGGCTGCGATCTCACGTAGGCATCCCTGCTGTTGTTTTGATGTGTCTCCCGCACTGACACGACGCTGTTTGACCGCCGGCAGTAACACCACCTGTCTCTGCACGAACTCCAACTTCCAGCAAGCTACCGTCGAATGTCTTCAGGCCAACTGTTCGTCAACAGACCTGGCCGCTGTCCTTGCCGCACAGTCGGTGGAGTGCAACGCTGCCAACAGTAAGCGTCTCCTCTCGCCCGTGCGAGGTGCAGCACGGGTCACTGACGCCCCCTGTCTTCGTAGCGACATTCGGCCCTAGTACATCAACCAGCAGCAATACCCAAAGCGCGACATCCGGTTCTGGCACCTCCTCATCTGGCTCCAAAACCAGCGCAACGGGCAGTGCCAGCAGTAAGCCCGGCAGTGGCGTCACGGTTGCTGCCGGCTGGCATGGGCTGGCGGGCGTGGGTGTTGCCCTCGCCGGCCTCGCTATGGGGGCTGGTATTGTTCTTTAATCGCTTGGGGGAGAGGGCGAGAAGGAGCCGGACCGTTTTTCGAGCTCTCGTGTCCACAGACGTTTTTGCATGCACGCATACATTTAATTATTTCAGGAGGTAGTCATGTGTTTGTTTTTGCCCAGAGTAACCCTCGGGTTAACGGGGGAGCTTGGCTGTGTATACCACTTTTTTTTGTTCCCGCATAAACAGTGGAGATTTGCGAGATCTGGCAAATTTCACGTCGATCATCCGCTCAATAACAGACTGCGTCGAAGCCATTAAGGGAGGTTCGCACCCTTCGTAAAGTACGAACTACTTGCGGCGCCACACTTCTCTCCTCACAAAATTCTGAAAATCAAGATGTAGTATATGAGCACACGATATTTCAGATAATATTTTGTAAGACGGGAGAAACTCAAGGATAGCGAGGCAGAGAGAGAGAGTAAACGAGACCTTTCGCTTTAGTGATGCAGTCGAATTTTTGCTTATTGGTGAGTTGAATCTGTACAGAATTGAAAGGTGTATAAATGATAATATGCATCTAGCACACGCACCTGATAGCATGCCTTTAAAGAGGAAGGTATTTCACTGGCTGAGTCGCATGCGATGAAATGTCAGATGCCCTTTTCACACTCCGCTGATCACCCGTCAGATTCTTGCGCTTGCATGAGGTCGGAGTCCACAGCTGAGCTCACTGCCGAGTGATGGCCGGCATGACCGATGTGTGACACCCAACTTCGTAGCGGAAGCTCCGGACAGCGCACCACTCGTCCAAAAAATGTCATGTTTTTCTGCCTGCACCTTTAGATGATACGGTACTCGCTTATAGCATGCATTTAAGAGACAATTGAGTGAAGGAGAAATGAAGGGCCGCTTTCAGGTTGTG